AAAATGGCGGCTTGCGCGCGCGAGTCAATAGAGGCAACGCGACACCGGCAAACCTTTTAACACGCGTGCTAAGAGTGTTAAGGGGGTGTTTAGGGGTGTTTAGGGGTGTTATTGGGTGTTATGGGGTGTTTAGGGTTTATGGGGAGTTTAGGGGTGTTATGGAGTGTTTAGGGGTGTTATGGGGTGTTTAGGGATCGATGTTATGGGGTTTTATGAGGTGTTTAGGGGTGTTATTGGGTGTTATGGGGTGTTATGGGGTATTATGGGGTGTTTAAGGGTGTTATGGGGTGTTAAGAGGTGGTATGGGGTGTTATGAGGTGTTATGGAGTGCTATGGGGTGTTATGGGGTGTTATGGGTGTTAAGAGGTGGTATGGGGTGTTATGGGGTGTTTGGGGGTGTTATAGGGTGTTAGGAGTGTTAGGGGTATTATGGGGTGTTATGAGGTGTTATGGGTGTTTAGGGGTGTTATGGAATGGCATGGAGAGTTACGGGTGTTAAGGGGTGGTACGGGCTCCTATGCATGAGGTGTTATGGGGTTTTATGCTGGTATGAGGTATTATGGGTGTTTGAGAAGTAGAAGGGAGAAATCTTAACACTCCCAACACCAACGCCAGGAGCGTTAAGGTATAAGAGATAATACTTAACACTCCCAACACCCACGCCAGAAGTGTTAAGGTATAAGAGAGAATACTTAACACTCCCAACATCCACGCCAAGAGTGTTAAGGTATAAGAGATAATACTTAACACTCCCAACACCCACGCCAGGAGTGTTAAGGTATAAGAGAGAATACTTAACACTCCTAACACCTACGCCAGGAGTGTTAAGGTATAAGAGATAATACTTAACACTCCCAACACCCACGCCAGGAGTGTTAAGGTATAAAAGAGAATACTTAACACTCCTAACACCCACGCCAGGAGTGTTAAGGTATAAGAGATAATACTTAACACTCCTAACACCCACGCCAGGAGTGTTAAGGTATAAGAGAGAATATTTAACACTCCCAACACCCACGCCAGGAGTGTTAAGGTATAAGAGAGAATACGTAACACTCCTAACACCCACGCCAGGAGTGTTAAGGTATAAGAGAGAATACGTAACACTCCCAACACCCACGCCAGGAGTGTCAAGGTATAAGAATACGTAACACTCCCTACACCCACGCCAGGAGTGTTAAGGTATAAGAGAGAATACGTAACACTCCCAACACCCACGCCAGGAGTGTCAAGGTATAAGAATACGTAACACTCCCTACACCCACGCCAGGAGTGTTAAGGTATAAGAGAGAATACGTAACACTCCCAACACTCACGCCAGGAGTGTTAAGGTATAAGAGATAATACTTAACACTCCCAACACCCACGCCAGGAGTGTTAAGGTATTTGAAAGAAAATTTAACACTCCTAACACCCACGCCAGGAGTGTTAAGGTATTTGAAAGAATATTTAACACTCCTAACACCCACNGCTGATGATGGTGCTGATGATGGAGCTGATGATGGAGCTGATGATGGAGGTGATGATGGAGCTGATGATGGTGTTGATGATGGAGCTGATGATGGAGTTGATGATGGAGCTGATGATGGAGCTGATGATGGTGCTGATGATGGTGTTGATGATGGTGCTGATGATGGTACTGAAGATAGTGCTGAAGATGGTGCTGATGCTGGTCTCTCAAAAATTATAATGCATATATGATGAATTTCAATTGACATTTTTATTGCTTTTAAATTCACTTTTAGCTTTCGTTGTGTTTACGTTTAAATGCATGTTCGCCCTTACTTTATACTTAGGAGTCAGACACTTACTTAATCTGGAGCTTTTCATCTTACATGCAGCGGTGTAACCACCCACGCCTCTGGCTGATTAATTTAATTATTTAATAAGTATTTATACCTCCCTTGATAAGGAAAAAGAGTCCCTCTGAAAGCGTCCGAGTCTGCCTTTCCTCCAACTGTTATTTCTTATTTATTCCTATATAGCCTTTAAAATTGCTCCTTCAATTTTGCCGCTTTACCGCTTGGTGGCAAAAGATTATAAGATGGGTGATAGTCTGTAGTTTGCAGCCATTGTGCTGCACTGCAACAAATCATCGGGTGCATGAAACATTCAACCTGTAAACATTCCGTTTGAGGCTATCAAAATTGTTACCTATGGAATAATGGTGACTCCGATGTGGTCCGTTGGTCAGTTTCTGGGAATCGGAAGCTCCACCTAAATTATCATATAAAAGTTTCTTTGCTTGAAAGTTTTTCGCGCTTCATCATCTTTGCCATTGCTAATATCTTAGATATTTAAACCTCTATTACTGAATTTTTACTTATATAGCTCTTCTAAATAAAGTTTTATTTATTTTAAACAGTTATGTAGGGCCGGTTCGGTCGTTCATTTTGCATCAACCCGTTATATAAAAAATGAAGTGTTCGTGGATTTGAACTAAAAGAATAGAAGTTCCTGTTGTTTACTGTGATGTCTTTAAGCCTAACATATTGCGTCAAAATTACGCGAACATCGCGTAATTGGGCAATAATGGAACCGAGCTGCCATTTCGAAGTAAGTAAATTGTGGCAACCACAAACTTGCCAATTGAACCACACTGGCAACTTTCTGCTGTATTATCGCCTTTTTTAGCGCATTTTCTCATTCATGGAAAAAATGCACTATTGTGCTCGCCATGTCCATCTGTCTGTCTGTCTGTCTGTCTGTCTGTCCGTCCGTCTGTCCATCCGTCCGTGACCTCAAGTTTTCGTTGACGAGAAAATGCGCTCTTTGTCACTCACTGCAGTGAGTACTGAGTTTTATTTGTAGATTTACACTTTGTTGTGGCAAAGTTTTGTACGTGGAACCATGCAACATATATAGGTTTTACGTCATTGACTTGTCAATGACGTCAATAAGCTTCTCTGCCGCTCCGCGAGATGTTCAAGGCATTATTCAAATAACGATGTATATAGTTTATGCTCTTGTGCAGGTCTTTCTAACCCACTTTGAGCCGGGATAAAGGGCTTAAAATGATACTTTAGAAAATGTGTCCGTATTTAAACAATATGGCGTATTCTTTTTTGCTAATGGTATATAATTAGCCAGTCCCCCATCCCGGGGTACGTATAGGTGCATGGGGGAGGCCATGCAGAGGACGTTGCCTAGCTGTACGTGTTGCTTCATCGGTGAAAGTTGTGCAATTATTGGAGGCGTAATATTAGCATGATTATATTCTGTTTTTCACAAATTTAATAATTATTAATCTTTCTCAATCTTGTTCATTTTATTACCTCATGTTTATAATGTCGTCATAACCAAGGCGATTAATTTTCACCCCATCGTTCTTTTTGCTCGTATTCCATGAGCTAGTTGCCTTATACCAGCTCATATAACATTAGTATTAATATACAATATAACAGTATATCTCGACCAGTATTTTGCGATTTGTTGATCTTCCAAGTAAAACAGTAAGATGATAAAATTATATGATATGATTTTTAAACGTAATTGAGAACTATATGCCTACGCTTGATTAGTATAGACTATAGAGGTATTAAAGACTTATGATTAGGAGCTTATATATGATAACTGTCGTTGTTGAACGTGGTACAGTTCCTAAAAAGCGGGACACCAATTGTTATGTGGAGAGAATAGGGTTTAGGAATAGGCAATTCTAGGGCATGTAAAGGATTTATCATCTGTGACTAATTTATGTTCATTTGAGGAGGAATCTGAAGAGTGAAGTGAAGTGCTCGCAGTGGACAATGAAGTGCCTGCAGTGGACAGTGAAGTGCCTGCAGTGGACAGTGAAGTGCCTGCAGTGGACAGTGAAGTGCCTGCAGTGGACAGTGATAAGTACTCAGAAACAACCGTGTGATAATGTCTATAGGCAGTAATGTCTATAGGCAGTAATGTCTATAGGCAGTAATGTCTATAGGCAGTAATGTCTATAGGCAGTAATGTCTATAGGCAGTGATGTCTATAGAGGCAGGACAGTGATGTCTATATATGCAGTGATGTCTATATATGCAGTGATGTCTATAGGCAGTGATGTCTATAGGCAGTGATGTCTATAGGCAGTGATGTCTATAGGCAGTGATGTCTATGTCACTGCGCAGGATTGCGTTGCACTGCAGGATTAAGTAAAAACGTTTACTGTTTTTGGCGCGCATCCTGCAGCGTGTCAAGTTTAATTATCAGCCGACGTATGAGGAAATAAAATGATCCCTCACCTATGCAGGGGCTACGTTCCAGACCTCGACCGCGATATCTGAAATCGCGATGAGGAATTTATAGATCGATATGCCTTTTTAAAGTACTTAAATTGCGATTGTAAGGTTAGTTTTAATTGTTTTAAGTGTTTACAAACCCTACCCACACGCTTATTGCCGATCGAGATACATGGGCTGTTTAAATCAGCCGATCGACTTCCTCAGAAACCCGCAAACCTGCGATCCTCGACTGACTTTTCTCATTAATATTTTTTGAAAACCCGCGATGAAGTGACACAGCGGTCGGTGAAGCGCGTTGTAGCGAAGGATTGCTGTATTGCCGAGAATATTTAGGATGAAGGATGGCATGACCCCCGACACCGCCCGACAGCGCCTGGAATGCCCTTGGTGTCCAGGACATCCCGGAGGCGGGCCTTAGCTCCTATAAGGGCGGAGTGACGCATTATCCTGGAAGTTTCAAGGGGCGGACCGGCATGGATAGGAGTGGTTAGTGGAGGATCCTGTTCTGGAATAGGAGTGGTTAGTGGATGCTGTCAGGAATAGGAGTGGTTATTGTGGCAGCTCAGTGATTTATGAGACTGGAAAGGTCATTCTTTGGTCGCTATCTAGCTGAGTGAGGTCTGGATGCTGCGTCAACCAGTGATGCTAGGAAGTAAATCTGATTGCTTAATTGGAAAGATTAAAAGACTGGACAATCATTAATAGCAAGAATTGCTAAGTGGCTTATGTCGTTACCAATTCGTGAAGTTTTTACAGCAATATAAGAACAAAAAAAAAAACATTTATTACCTGTAAATAATTGAAAAGTTGAAAGTGTTTTTCAACTAGTCGTCTTAGACCAGTTTTGGTTGCCAATAAAACTTTTCTGTTTACTCGTTGAAATGTTGGAATCTTCCTCAGTGCGATGCCCCAACTCGCCAGCCTCAAGCTTGGGGATGCCGTTGTCGTTACCCTCGGATACCCTGAACAGCTCCCCTCTCTCCCCTTGCCTGGTGCCCCAGTACGCGTACCTCCACCAGCTGAGTCAGCACCAAGTCCTCGCCGCCTCAGACTTCAAGTCCTACTTCGTCGACCCTCTGAAACAATCCTTTCCAGACCACATCAAGCAGGAGCACTACAAAGCCTGCTTACCAGACCACTTTAAGACCACTCTGCCAGATCATCTGAAGACAACCCTTCCAGATTACCTCAAGACAACCCTTCCAGACCACCTTAAGACCACACTACCAGACCACCTCAAAACTATGATGACTACCGATCATTTGCGTACTGTGATGATGAGCGATCCTCTTCGTTTGTATTTAGCGCAGCAGGAATACGCATCCGCTGCGGCGTTCGCGGCTGCGGCATCAGGCGCGTCATTGAATTTTTTATCCCGCGAGGCTAAAGACGCCGTCGGGTTCACCGGCACCGCGGACACCACCCTGCGGTGTGGGGATGTGAACTCATCCCTGGCAGGGGTGACGAGCAGCATGTGTACTTCCCTGAGCAGTTTCTCGTCCCCCCAAGGAGGGTGTACGACTCGACTCCTCGAGTCGGGGGGCACCGTGCCCCGCACGACACTCTTCAGCATCGAGAGCCTCTTGGCACCCAAACCACCCTCCGTCAGGCTGCCGGCGCCCCTTGCGAGACCCACGCCCCTCGAGTTTCTTGGTGAGAACTAACGTAATTGTTTCATAATTATTTTAATTATCTGAATTATTCTGGTTATCGAGGTGCAGTCATGCCTCGTATCGAGACCGAATATTTGCTCTGGTATTATTTTAGAAACAATTTCATTTTCAGATAAAAATAGAGATTTAGCTAAAGATATGAAGAGGAATTATTTATATATTACAGTGGTTTTGTTAAAGTCAGTTAATTAAGACAACTTTTATTATTCAAATGCGTAAAATTTTTTAGCATAAGGCCTATACTGTATGTTCAAAAATGCACATCGCCACCTACTGAAATTCTCATATATCCAACACCAAGTTGCCGTGCATGGTCGCCTTCCATTAGCAGGTTGCAACGTCTCCAATCAACCTGAAATCTTTAATTGACCAGGTGCTTCACCTCCATGACCATGCATGGTGCTTTAAACTTACAATTAACCTGGCGCGGTAACCTAACGGTTAACCTGGCGCTGCAGCTATTTGTTAATCTGGCTCAGAAACCAATTGTTACTATGAACTGTTTCTCAATGGTAATGGGGAAAAAATATTTCCAGGAAAGCATTTTGTGAGTTTTATCTCGCAATGAAAGCAAATGCTTCAATTAAGATCTTACAGGAGGTAATTCCAGATCAACAATTAGACTTCACCAAGTCAACGGTAAAGCTTCGTGGTTCGCAGAGATTGAACTATCTTGCAACACTATATAAACATGTGAAATGTTTATTTTAATGCGAAATCATACAATGCCGTCGACGCTTCATTTTAATGAGAAGGCATACAGTTCCGTGACGTTTCATTTAATGAGAAGTCACACTATTTCATCGCGTTTCATTTTAGTGAGAAGTCACACAATGCCATCGCGCTCCATTTTAATGACAAGCCACACAATGCCATAGCGTTCCATTTCAATGAGAAGCCATAAAATGCCATCGCGTTCCATTTTATTGAGAAGTCATAAAATGCCATCGCGTTTCACTTTAATGAAAAATAATAAAATACCGTCGCTCTTCAATACAAGAGATTAAATCATAAAAATTAAATGAAATGCAAATTTCAGATGAAGGCTACACACTGGCCAGATAGGCGCGGCTCGAATTTTTAGTAGCATATATAAAGGCTTCTCAAGTTGTAAAAAATGGCATCTGAAACTTTTTCTTAATTTCAAAATTTCTGTATATACTTTCAGATGTAGATAAAATAATCGAGACATTTAAATCAGTGATATGTACACTGACCAGAATCAACATTTTATGAAACAATTCTCATTGTTAATCGAGCACTGATACGAGTCATTTAGTGACTCGTGACAGAAGCAGGAAACAGTTATATATTTTCTGAAAGTTTGTTTCAAACATGACACTGTATAATGTATACAGGGGCTATTCAAGTGACAATAGCTCTCATGTCATTATAGTTTTGGGTCATTAAATTTAATTTTCAGCGGCGGAATGGCGTGGCATTGCAATTAACCCTCTACCGCCTGACATGCATGATTTAACCGGAGCAATATTGTCACAAGTCTACTTCCCAAAAAGGATACATTCTAGTGAGCGCAAAATGACTTGCCCTGATGCATGTTTGCCGCACTTACAACAACTTTAAAATGTTCTCCGTTGCGTACAAACGTTTTAAGGTTGCTACACTCAATAGTTTACTTATTCTTTATCCACAGAGGAGCAGACAAATTTATAATTTAAGTTGAAACATTACAACATCAAGTTGAAAGTTTACATTTACTTATAATTTAAGTTAAAAGTTATGTTCTCGGAGAGTGACATACGGCGGTATAGAGGGTTAAGACGGGGATACTAGATATTAACTTTATTTTGACTTAGTAGATTCAATTTTGTTGAAGAATATCAAATTTCTGTTTCTTCGAACTTTTGAAAGTTTATTGGGAATTCTATTACCAATGTCAGTTGAATAGGGCCTCTCTATTATTATTAAGAACAATTCTTTACATTGTTTACAATGACATTCTGGATAGCGGGATTCTTAATAACGGGAACCTGATCGGAATTACGGATAACGGAATTCATAATATTGGCATTATGGATACCAGGATTACAGATGGCCCCTTTAGTCTAATTTATTTTTTTGTTAGGTAATTAATTATTTCCATTACTCTATATAAGTTTCCACGATAATTAGTAATAGGTTGAATTTCTCTATAATAGTGTGCATGTTGGTTAGGAATATTTCATAATATAATATAATATTTTATTATATTAAATTATATTATATTATATTATATTATATTATATTATATTATATTATATTATATCATATTATATCATACTACAATACATAATAATATATTATAATGATATCTATGCTTATTATTAAGAAAATGGAGTGAACGACACACGCTATACGTTCGTGACCGGGAGCAAGTTACAGCAGTGCATGGTCTGTTGTGTGTAATGTAGCAGTGACATGGTCTGTTATGCATGGCAATATGCTGCTTATCAACGACTGAGGCTAGAAAAGATTGTCAAATAAGTGAGGCTACATGGTGCGAAATTGGCCCTTTAATAAAGCTATCGTATTGGTAGGATACATGAATATATCCTTCAGCACGTGGTGGTGGCACGGCTTAATTTGGTCCTGCCATGCAAGGATACATGTTCAGTTGCCTGGGAAGCGATGCAATTTTTCTGTACACTGGAAGAAATAGGCAAGTCTTTGTCCAAACACCAATTGACTTTTTTCCCTCGTGTGGATCATTAATTATGATCCTATTAGGACTGCCAAAAAGACGCATCATTGCTACGTACGTCACTATTAGGACATAATGATCTATTAATTTAATTACGCTACTATATATGCCTCCTAAATTCTACGTCTTTTCTGCCCACAGGACCTCCGCAGTACCCTCACCTGTACCCGGGGGCGTTCTTCCCCAGCAGTGGGGGCGGCATGAGCCCCATGTTTGGGGGTGGGGGAGGAGGGAAGCGCAAGAGGCGGCACCGCACCATCTTCACGGAGGAGCAGCTGGAGGACCTGGAGAAGACCTTCTCCAAGACGCACTATCCTGACGTGCTGCTAAGGGAACAGCTCGCCCACAAGATCGACCTCAAGGAGGAGCGGGTCGAGGTGAATAAGTCTTGAGGGGCTGTGAATTATTAGACCGCCGCCTAATTATTTAAATTTATTTTTATATTTATTAAGTGAATTACTAATCTAGTAAATTTATTAGGCCGCTGCCTAATTATTTAATTTTTTTTTATTATTTATTACGTAAATTATTTATTAAGTAAATTTATTAGGCCGCTGCCTAATTATTAAAATTTATTTTTATTATTTATTAAGTAAATTATTTGTTAAGTAAATTTATTAGGCCGCCGCCACTGTGAAAGAAAGCTGCAATCAAGGCATGCTACTATAATTTGATAGGTGAAAGGTGAAATATCTCATCAGGTGAGAATAAATAAAAATATGATTATATCATATGATAAAATAAAATAAATGATTAGGTGAAAATATCGCAACAAGAATAAAGATTGCGTTTATTCGCACTGCCATAGTTGAAATATTTCTATTGTAAGCAATATTTTGTCGTGTTGCAGCCAGTATTGTTGGCGTCAGTTAGCTAATTATATAGTGTGATGAGGTTGCCCGCCATCTTGGATAACTGCGCTTAAAATTCAAATTAGACTCGCTAAGGTTGCCGGTATATATAGGTTGTAGACGGTAGATATAAAGTTATAGTGCTATTTATATTATTGTATCTGCCGTTATACTGCTAGGTATGCCAGTAGATATTCCCTACAGCATCTACTACCTTTACGGGAGCTACAACGCGTCGTTGTGTTGTTCATAATTGTTGTATTGTGCTCATAATGCGATCTGTATGACGTCCCGACATGAAATGTGTGATGCGAGACAAGACGCAAGACCCGTGTCTCGACAATCCAGTTATTCGTGTCTCGACAATCCAGTTATTCGTGTCTCGACAATCCAGTTATTCGTGTCTCGACAATCCAGTTANTGTTCATAATTGTTGTATTGTGCTCATAATGCGATCTGTATGACGTCCCGACATGTAATATGTGATGCGAGACCTGCGTCTCGCCAATCAAAGTATCCGTGTCTCGCCAATCAAGTATCCGTGTCTTGCCAATCAAAGTATCCATGTCTCGCCAATCAAGTATCCGTGTCTCGCCAACCAAAGTATCAAGGCCTCGCCAAACAAAGTATCCAAGTCTCGCCAATCGAAGTATCCGTGNGATCTTCAACGGAGCCCTTAACCGCCAAAGTTAGGTGCCGGCAAGGCGATTGCTCGGCAGATTTCCAATTAAACCGTGGCGAGGGCGCCGGCCAATAGCAGCGCCCCTGTGTTATTCCTACGGGAACTGCCAACGGCCAATAGCAGCGCCGCTATGCTATTGCTACGGGACCCACCGAGTCCTGCCCACCCGGCGGCTGGCGTTGCGCGAGGCCTCCGCCTTGCCCGACTATCCTGAGAACTTGTGACAAGAAAGTTCATATTAGGCAAAAATGTTGAATAATTTGTTTGATTAACTGGAAAAAGGAATGAGCTGGTGGAATAAATTAATTAATTATTAATAGAGCCACGGATGGAGACTATTAATGTGAGTAAGCGTTAGAATATTTACCGATGGACAGACTCTTTCATATCACTAGTGATACCAATGATGGTAACAAATACTTTGACTATATTTATTTCGGAATAAAAGAGGAAATAAAGTCATTTACATAGTATTTATGATTCTAGAATATATTTGCTTAAGATTATTGGAAAGTGGATTTAGTAAGAAGAAAAGAACTTACTGTACATCATGATTAGTATAGCTTAAATTGCGACTTCAACATGAATTCAAAAGAAATTATAACGCCAAGTAAATTAACTATATCTTCATTGAAACGTTGCGGGGACCAGCTCCATCATTGCTTCAAAAATTGAGAGAATTCAAGTAGAATTAGCATAGAAAATTTAAATTTAAAAATAAAAAGTGAAAAAAATTACAACACAGAGTCAGGCTATGCTGTTCAGCATGAGGGCCGGTGCACAGCAGAGTGAGAAGGATCGGCAAGTGGCATATTAAAATGAAAATTCCATGAGTATTTCAGTCATCTTGACGTACGCTGCTGCGCACCGCGCACAACTGTATTGGAAGGGAAGACCGCAGGCGGGCAGGAGCATCATACTTATACAAGAAGAAAAATAATAAAATTATTCACCAGTAAAACATGCAAGTTAACATTCGGAAAATATTTTAGAAGTTTGTTCTTCAATACATACGACATTTTTTCAAACAAGCTACCAAAGGAGGGTAAATTCTTTAAATAGTTTTCCTACTTTTACCTCAATAACAGATTCAGAAAATTTTTCGACAATAACCTTTTAAATTTATTAAACGCAAGGTTCGATGGAAACCTATTTAGTTGAAATATATTACGAATGAACTTGAATGCAGTGTTAATTCATGTTATGGATGGTGGATCAAATTCTATCAAGGTTTGATAAACATTCTATTTAAAACGAAATGAACATATGCTAAAGAAGGCCATACCCAAGCCGATAAATGCCAGTTTGCGATACACGGTAGTCTGAAAGCAACCGTTATAGATTTAGTTACTTGCCTGTGGAGAAATGACAAAATTTTCCTGATTTTATCGATAAATCTTCGAGGTTGGAAGAAAAGATACGCATGAGAGAGATGTACAAGCTCGCTGGTTCACGAAGGCGTAGCATTGCGACGATAATGACAAGTTACCGACATGACAAGTTGCCGACATGAAAGGTGCCAGCATGACAAGGTGCTGGCTTGACAAAGAGCCGACATGACAAAGTGCCATGACAAAGTGCCGACATGACAATTATGGTACCTGGCATGACAAGGTGCTGCATATGGCATGACAAAGTGCCGACATAACAAGGTGATGGCATGACAAGGTGCCGGCATGACAAAGTGCCGACATAACAAGGTGCTGGCATGGCAAGGTGCCGGCATGACAAGGTGCTGGCATGACAAAGTGCCGACATAACAAGGTGCTGGCATGACAAGGTGCCGACATGACAAGGCACCGAAGTGGCAAAAGTTGCGCATGCAGCAGCACCACCAACAACAACAGTCCAGAGCAGCAGCACCACCAACAACAACAGTCCAGAGCAGCAGCACCACCAACAACAGTCCAGAGCAGCAGCACCACCACCAACAACAGTCCAGAGCAGCACCACCACCAACAACAGTCCAGAGCCGCAGCAGCACCACCAACAACAGTCCAGAGCCGCAGCACCACCAACAACAACAGTCCAGAGAAGCAGCAGCACCACCAACAACAGTCCAGAGCAGCAGCAACACCACCAACAGTCCAGAGCAGCAGCATGCATCACCAAAAACAGTCCAGAGCAGCAGCACCACCAAAAACAGTCCAGAGCAGCAGCACCACCAACAGTCCAGAGCAGCAGCAACAGTAGCAACACCACCAGCGCCACCAGCACCAGCACCAGCAGCAGCAGCAGCAAGGGCAGCGGCGCATACTAATTGCTTAAAGAGGAGCCTGCGTAGCGTGAAGCGTAAGGCAGCGCGCAGATTGTTATTGCTTAATTACCCTGAAACGCTCTAAACTGACGCACCGGAGACGACGGGGGGAGTACAAGGGCCTTTGAAGGGGGCAGGGGGGTGTTGGGTGTCGAGGATACGGAGGGACTGGACATGATTAGGGCGTGGCGAAGAATAATTGAGAATTCAATCTCGAACTCATGGAGTACCTGATCAGTTAGCTGTATGAATTCTGTCCTAGTAGAAAATATAAATCAGTAATTACAAGTTATAGCGAATGACGAATTTCAATTACACGGTTTTAGCGAATTGTGTCTGTAAATTTAATTATTTCTTATTATATAAATTCAATTTATGTAATATATAAAATATTTTCACTTCCCAGGTTTGGTTCAAGAACCGGCGGGCGAAATGGCGCAAAGTTAAGCGCGAGGAGCAGCAGCGCGTGCGACGCCTGCAAGATGAACAGAAAGCAACCACCTCATCCCCCCACACAGCCCCGTGTCCCCTACCTGTCCCCACGCCCCCAGAGGGCAGTGCAGGGACGATAGGACGACCAAGCACGTCCCCACCTAAGCGTCCTTCGTCCCCCTACTGCAGCAGCAGCGACGAGGGCCTCCTCAGCCCCAGCGCTGGTACCACGTCCCCAGCAGCAGGTCGCTGTGGTAGGTCACCATCATCCGTCCCTTACCACAGTCAGCGTGATGATGGCTGTCCCAGTCAGCATGGCCAGCATCACCACAGTCAGCGTGATGACGGTAGTCCCGGTCAGCATCACCACTACCTTTTCCACGACCAGCATCAGCATCAGTCCCTACATCAGTTCCCTAGTCCCCACTCTCTCGGCGGCTCAAGTGGCAACAACAACGGCAATAACGCGACCAAACGTCACTCTAATTCAACTGTCAAAACAATTATCAACAATAATCAATATTTAAAAAACGAACGACCAATTTCCAGTGCCCAAATATCCCCAGGAGGCGATAAACCGCGACTGGGAGCCGCCCAAGCGGTATCCGTGAAGAAACTTCTGACGGATTCCGAAGACGAAAACGATGACGAAAAAATGTCGCAGCGACATGAGGGACCTCGGGCCAAAAAATGTAAACTAAATCGTCCTGACGAGGAATATAATCACAACGCAACCGACCATCTCGATTCTGTTTGATTTTCTTGAAGTCTGTCTTTTTCTTGAGAATCTCTTCGACGAAAATCCGTGCATGTTTTTACTGAACAATTCTTCCGCGGCTGCTGTAAATGTTTGATTAGGTTTTGCATACAGGGGTTAGACACAATAAGGGAAACATCTGAGGAATCCACAAAATTTATTTTAGCGTAGGTCCACCGTCAGCGGTTCGTGGAGTAGTGGTGACGTCATCGGTTCGTACAGTCGTGGTGACGTCAGCAGTTCGTACAGTCGTGGTGACGTCAGCGGTTCGTTGAGTCGTGGTGATGTCAGCGGTTCGTAGAGTCGTGGTGACGTCAGCGGTTCGTAGAGTTGTGCCACGACGTCGTACGTTGTTGCTAGTCATGTATTATATACCGTCACTGGTAAATCTATTAACATTTAACATTTTAAACTATTAACATGGAAGGCAAAGTGTGACCCGCGAAAACAGACGCGATATTTTAATACATAAATGTTTTTAATAGTTTATCTTAAGCTTAAGCAAGGTTGTTGAGCGATTGGTTACTTATAACTTTAAAGATTTCCTACAAAGTACAACGGCGAGCATCAAGTTTCCCAATAAGTTCGCCATTTTTCGTTATTGAATCAACTTATTAAGTTATTACCTTGCATTATCGTCATGCCTGTTGCATTTAGCGATAAAATCAAACTTGAATGTAAAGGTTTATATTTAACAGATGTTTCTGGAAACGAATGCGATGGTATATTGATGGATACTTTGTTTAGATTTAAGGTCCACAATAACTTTTTCAGGATCCTCTTCTCCAATAAAGCAAATGATTCTCAAATCATGCGTTTCCTTGCAAAATCCTCTCCCCGAACACTCCTCCATCATCCAGCGATATCTTTACGGATGATGGCATGACGCTCTGGCTAGCCGCTGTGGCATGGTGCTCTGGCTAGCCGCTGTGGCATGACGCTCTGGCTAGACGCTGTGGCATGACGCTCTGGCATGACGCTCTGGCTAGACGCTGTGGCATGGTGCTCTGGCTGGACGCTGTGGCATGATGCTCTGGCTGGACGCTGTGGCTGTCTCTTATACACATCTAGATGTGTATAAGAGACTTGATTCAGATCGAATAAATCTCCTCAGGCTTTGCATAAAGGCTTTGAAAATACAATCTGATTTAAGCGCGGGATTTTTATTGCTGAAGTCAAGCAAAGAGGATGAAAGGCGCAGCGAATGCAGTGATCGCACGGCCGCTGCAGGCGACTCGCCACTCGCCTTGATTGCGTTCCTGGAGGCGATCGGTCAGCTGACCTCGCCTGCAGATAAAGGACCAGGCGAGTGAAGGGCTGACCACACCGCCTGCAGATAAAGGACCAGGCGAGCGATAGGCTGGAGTCGCCTGCAGATAATGGACCAGGCGAGCGATAGGCTGGTGCCGCCTGCAAATAAGGCTGAAGCCGAGCGAGCAGTGATTACTCCTGCAGATAAGGAACCTAGTGATCGGCAGCCTGTTCAAATGTCGGTGGCCTGTTCAAATGTCGGTGGCCTGTTCAAATGTCGGTGGCCTGTTCAAATATCGGTGGCCTGTTCAAATGTCGGTGGCCTGTTCAAATGTCGGTGGCCTGTACAAATGTCGGTGGCCTGTTCAAATGTCGGTGGCTTGTTCAATTGTCGGTGGCCTGTTCAAATGTCGGTGACCTGTTCAAATGTCGGTGGCCTATTCAAATGTCGGTGATCTGTTCAAATGTCGGTGGCTTGTTCAATTGTCGGTGGCCTGTTCAAATGTCGGTGGCCTGTTCAAATGTCGGTGACCTGTTCAAATGTCGGTGGCCTATTCAAATGTCGGTGATCTGTTCAAATGTTGGTGGCTTGTTCAAATGTCGGTGGCCTGTTCAAATTTCGGTAGCCTGTTCAGATGTCGGTGGCCTGTTCACTACGGCCCAAGAGTTAAAGGCTCGTAGGATCCTATATATACGGTCCAGGGGTCTGAAGGTGGTAGTGCACTAAGACTTAATTAAGGTTCCTAGGTTCGTAGGGTCCTATAAAGTCTAAAGACCCGAAAGGGAGACTGTCAAAGTGGCCGAAGTTGCAAGGCTCCAACTGTCCAAGGGTCGAAGAAGAGGTTCTTGTGCCATCAAAGGGCACACTGAAAAATTTGTTATGTGAGCGGAAGGAAGAAATTACATCCTTTTGGTGAAGGCTTCTGCAATTGAAGTTCGTTGATCCCAACATCGAGTCCATTGCAGGACTTGATTAGCGCGACTTCAACACAAGCTCCTTCAGGTGACGAACGGGAGTTGACGGGCGGAAGGGGTGAGTCTGTCTCGTAATGAAGTCGTTAATGACGACACCCTTAATTGTCTGTCACTTGTGATCATCGTCAATTGCAACACGCTCCGCTCACCTGTCAACACGCGCCACTCACCTGTCAACACACACCACTCACCTGTCACTGTGCATTATCGTTCTCAAGCGAGGCGCATCCTCTCTGCCATGCGCGCGTCTAGTTCAGGTGTGAAAAATATTTGATTTTTAAGCTGTGATATTTTCGCTCGTAATATTTTATCATCGCTAATTTGCGTAAAACTCGCAAAAATTGAGCTGAAAATATAATAATTAATTGGCATGCTTGCACAACTCAAGCTTAGCCCCGCTCTAGTGCCTTGATGCAAGAAAAATCTAGTGAAAATCAGAGGCGGTTATCGGAGGCCAGCGAATATGGTTGGCAAAGGTCGATCATAGTTCTGTTAAGATAGCAACAGTGCGATCAAAACTCATTATGAAAGTGTAAGATAAATTAGCAAACATTCTTTATTTATGTGTTTCGTAGGCGAGTTTGATAGCATGCATTATAAATATAAGGAAATTAGTGAGCAAAACTGCGCTCACGCACCAAAAGTTGTTGTTAAACCCACCGTTGAAATGTCGAGCTTGCCTCAATCAACTCGAATCTTATTTTCCTCAAGACCACACACCACATTATCTTAAATATAATCTCATATGATCTTAAAATTTGCACATAACTAAATGATAATGTGGTGCATGTGTGTGTGCATATGTCGTGACGCAATTTGTCATGCAGGAGGACATACGTATCCCTTATACCGCAAAGAACTGCCATCATGTTTGTATAGCTGTAATGTTTAAAATACCCTAATTTGTATTGCAGAGGCACATTCTCCATCTCACGTAGCATTCCAGCACTGAGCAGGAAATATACAAATGCCCCAAGGCAATCGCTCACCTGTCGAGAAGGATTCCCGCTTCTCGTTTTCTTTTCAGTAACGACTTTTTATTCGATAATTGATATCTCCACACCCGCTCCCAACAAACTCTCTTGCAGTCTCCCAGCAGGCATTTCCCCCAATCCCCTTCCACCCAACATGTGTCCGTGATCCTTCCTCTTTCCCCAGGAGTCCATTAAAGCATCAACAAAGGTAACAATCTCACTCCCCTTTGGGCGCACTCCACAAAGTGAGAAGAAACGCAATCACTCGGCGCTAAGTATGGCGGGTCTCAATGGCTCTCGTTGCCAGCCAACGCTCAAACAAATTACGCCATCAGCGGCCAAAAGGACGAGGCTTTCATTTACAAATTACGAAGGACGTTGCAACTTCCCGACACAGGCTTCACTAGACCCCCTTCTGAGGGCCTCACTGCCCCCCTTCTGAGGGCCTCACTGCCCCCCTTCTGAGGGCCTCACTGCCCCCTTCTGAGGGCCTCACTGCCCCCCTTTCTTTGGGCCTCACTGCCCTCCCCTGAGGGCCTCACTGCCTCTTTTCTTTGGGCCTCACTGCCCCTCCTGAGGGCCTCACTGCCCCCTTTTCTGAGAGCCTCACTGGCCCCCTTTCTTTGGGCCTCACTGCCCTCCCCTGAGGGCCTCACTGCCTCTTTTCTTTGGGCCTCACTGCCCCCCCTTGAGGGCCTCACTGCTCCCCTTTCTTTGGGCCTCACTACCCCCCCTGAGGGCCTCACTGCCCCCCCCTTTACAAATGCCCACAGCTTTTTATCTAAGGGCGTACTGCCTCCCTTGTAAGGGTCCACAACCCCTCTTTCTGATTAGGCCGGTTAGGAAGGAACCACACTGCATCTTTTTCTAAAGGCGCACATGCAGCCTCTCTTTCTATGGGCGTACTGCCTTCTATGTAAGGGACAACAGCCCTCCTTTCTGAGGGCCCAAAAAGATGAGGAATGAGGGGCACGGCTCTTCCTCACCGCCAATTGCTTCATGCGTAGTCCGGTCATCCCCGCCTGCTGGGTCCCCGGTCACTTCGTCTGCTGAGTCCCCGGTCACTCCGCCTGCCGGGTCCCCGGTCACTCCGTCTGCGGAGTCCCCAGTCACTCCATCTGCGGGGTCCCAGGGCAACCCGCCTGCGGGGTCTACGAGCAATACACTTGCAGGGTCCCTGTGCAACCCGCCTACAGGGTCTACGAGCAACCCACCTGCGGGGTCTACGAGCAACCCTCCTGCACGGTCTACGAGCAACCCGCCTGCGAGGTCTACGAGCAACCCACTTGCGGGGTCTATACGAGCAACCCACCTGCAGGGTCTACGAGCAACCCGCCTGCGGGGTCTACGAGAAACCCGCCTGCAGTGTCCCCGAGCAACCCAACTGCGGGGTCTACGAGCAACCCGCCCACCGGGTCCCTCAGCAACCCGCCTACAAAGTTATTCAAGGGATTATATACATAAAAATATCGAAAAACTCTCCTGCGTTTGACAAATAATGTTCACCGATTGATCGATGAATGATTATAAATTTTATCAATAATGTTAATTCACTCCATATTACACGAGGCCAACAGTCCTCAGTTTGATGCTCGCTATCGTTAAGCGCTTATCCATACATGTATCCAGGGAAGCACATTCAGCAAGACATATAAATGCATGTTTACAATATACATCACATACAATCATTATATAAATTATTTCTGTTCTGTCATGGGTGCCGGCATTAGCGAGATGTCTCAGGCAATCAGTTTTTACGAAGGACTTTAGCGGGTTTCCCTTTGAGCGCCGCGGATTACCAGAAGATTGCTGCCATGATACGATGTCATCTCCATCCTTATTGTGTTCATATGGCGCTATTGTGGCCGAGCACAAGATCACACAGCACAAATAACACAAGCGGCAACAATAGAGTCTGTTTACAACTTCTATTGGGCGCAAGTTGCGATAAATTATCGAGTTATAGATTGAAGGGACAAACATGGCTTCTGCTGCCAGATTGCTAGGCTCGCTTTCATGTTTAAATAACTATGACGATGGCAGGGCGACGTGTCTGCGGTCGCTTTTGTCACCGCATGGACTTCATCAATTTGTTCTGAAGCAGCGCTCGCCTCTCATTGGTCGCAATATATTCAGGAATATCCATGTTATAGTTCACAATTCGTTGTCGCTCTGGTAATACAATTAATATGATCGTTTTGAATTAGCTTAGCACAATCCGTAGAGATTATTTCAATAAATCTGACAAAAAATTGTTAAGGATGATTCGTTCGCATATTTTGATAAATTTTTAATCTCTACGCACGAGGGATAGCACTTGATATTGACTTATATGACAAGGGTGTAATCGAGGCGATAAATATCATTATGTTTTGAACGGATCTGAGCAATTCGTTTCGCTATCTAAGCTT